TTAACGAAGTGAGTCCGAACGAAAAAATTTTGGAAATCTTCCTATGTATGTTGCCTCTACCTACGATAAAATCCTAAGCCCAAAACTCAAACATCGATTGAGCAACTTTCGCTGTCCCACTCGTGCAGTGACTCTTAAAATATATTTATTTAGAACAAAAAGAAAATCTGATAACTGCCCTTCTAATTCGCGTACGCATTACATAGTTAGAGAGTTATCGTCCACTATGTTACCCTAACCGTTAAACATACCCATATAAAGAAATAGCGATATAACAAAAGAAGTAAAATTAGGAAGAAATGTACTAGCAAGGAGACTAAGATGTACATTTAACATCTTTCGGCCTCAATTACATAATCAATTATCATCCTGTAAAGCTCTTTATACAGTTCAAATTCTAAATTTTTCCTTGATGATCAATCCCAATCGACATGAATGTCTTAGTCACATTTTCTTTAAGTAGCTATAAATTTGCTAAACCATAGGCATAGTGGACAATTTCTGCATAGCAGGTGGATATGGGTACGAAGTATATTCGGCAACCTCAACAATGAACTTTATCCGCATTTTCAAACACGCTCTATCGAATGACCGATTCCTAATTTCTTTCTGGTAAAAAGTACTTTTTCTCTCATTTAAGCCATAGGCAAAACCAATTTTTTGAGTTATACGTTCAATATCATTGTACGTTAATAACCTGGAGCTTGATGCCTCTTTTAACATAGCCATAATAATTATAGTACAAGATCCCTCAAGAAATTCATGCATAAGATCACCGGGAAGACTTGTAATAACGTTGAATCCATCAACAGTGTCTAATAAACTAGGTCCATTAATTCCATATCTCAACAACCTGACATTCTTATCATGTTGTTCTGTACCTCTCTTTATGAATGAAATATAGCAACGGCGACAAAAAAATTGGCATTAAAGTTCATTTGAAAGTCGCCGACTTCATGTGCCGCCAAATTGTCAGTGCACATTGTAGTGAATTTAGAAGATACTCCAGTGTCGAGTGAATGAATATAAAGTCCATTAGACTGTAACTTATTCAATTCATCAATAATCGGTACATAAAACTTTTTACGCTTAACATCTGTGTTTAAATAGTTAGTGTTTGTAATGGCTAATAACATGACGGACGATAATTTACTTCGATAAGTGTCTGGAATATCTTCTAAGATATAATACACCACTGTTAATTTATGTGCATCTTTTTTAGGACCCCGAGGATTAGTGACACTGATCCCATCGGTGTATAATTGTGGTAGTAAATCACTATTCAAATGTTTTCGCGTGTTTACCATCACGAAATGAATACATAAGGTCATCATCAGATACACTTCTTTCATTCTGTTCATTAACATTTTGAACTATTGCCGATAAAATGTCTTTTTTACTCAATATTTGTATTGACAGCTGGGATCGGTTGCGTTATTACGTAACTAATTAAAAATTATTAGAAAAACCGGAATCATCTGTGCATTTTTGTGAAAATTAGTACACGGGATCAATTGTGCTTAATTTCCGGGATCAGAAATGTGTTTATCCTAATATAAACGTATCTACTAAACATATCAGAATTTGATGGTTTTTTTGTAGAGATGTGTATCTCGAAATGGTTACATATTCGGAATCAGCGTGATGAGTTTCGTTGTACGGCGGAAATATCTCGTCGGGGTATTTCAAGTTTTTGGATCCTTTGGACTCCACTTAGGTTTTCACGGTATAACACTATATTCAACTGTACACATCAAACACACTGCGTCTATTTTTCTTTTCTTTCATCTTATTTTTCTTGTTTGCTCGCATATATATGTGTGGAGTACGTTATTTTGCTTCAAAGAACAAAATAAGGTAAGGAAAAAATTTATATTTTGATCGGAATGTTCATTTATTCTATATTTGAAAGAAGCAGTGCTCACTGCGAGTTTATCCTATATTCTGCCAAATTCCCAGATTAAAAAGTTAAGAAATTTGAAAATATCCTGCAGTTTTTCTGTCAGTTTGAAGTACACAAGTTGTGCTATACGCTGAGTTATTTTGTAGAAAAAGGTACATTTAATTTCTTGAGTTATATGTCTATCAGTATCACAGATGAGCATAAGAAAATCATAGTTTCTTTTATGTTCAGCAATTAAATAAAACTCTTTTTGATCACCATGACTTTCCGATTTTCTCTTCGGGTCATGATAGTCAAGGCTAATATTTGTTAAAATTTTATTTAACAAGTGAAATGGCAAGTGGTTTTTTTATATGAGGTTGGTTTTTCAGAATGTCTATGATGAAACAGCGTTACACGATGCTGTCGCTGACCAGTACGAAGAATTGATCCAATAGCTAAGTCAAGTTTGCCAAGCAAATGTTAACGGAAGTCACCTTCAACGTCCAAGTAGTTTGGATATAGCTATCTTTGAAAATAATTCTGTATTACAAGCATGACTATTACAGCAAAAGAAGAGGTTGTCCGACGTGAAATAAGTTCATCTTAAATAAAAAGTAACAACATATAAACGAACGAGATCAGTAGTAATGAAAAGCAATTATCGTTATTCTGAGACTGATTACTTTTAGAAACTGTGTTGTATGCGAAATAGAATTCGAAACAATTTATCCAATGCATATTCAAATAAACGTTAGAATTAAAAAATAATCAACATAATCGAATACGCTTTCTGGATGTTGGCACGATTGACAACAAACGATTTCGTATATATTATTTCAATTTTTTAGAATTTTTTAAGTGGTTATTAAAGTGGAAGATGGAACGGACCATAATTTAAAATCATTGGCTGTTGTTCAATCATCCAGCATAGCGAATATGGATAATGATGATGAAACTGAAGAATTGGGAATGGGAACAAAACCACCTGAAAACCATCTGATGTGTATATAATCCTTCAGTAGACGTAGAATTTACTTGTAGCAAACAATGACTCACTCTTCTAATGTTCTGAATCTCTCGCACTATTTTCAACAATATATTTTTTTTCTTGTGAAAATTTCAATAAATCATGCTAAAAAGAAACTGTAAGGAAGTTGCAAATGTGATGTCTAAAATGATTGGACATTAAATCCAAGGATTTTGTCTGAAATGTTTTAGAGTTTTTTACGGGATAGCTATTATATTGTGCGTCAGCTCAAGTCAGTCAGCAACTAATTAACTAAAGAACTAAATTTTTGAGGGGTGTCAGAATATCACTACGCAGTGCAGTGTATTCTCAAAAAGAGACCGTTTTTTTCAAACTTGCTGGGCTTGGTGTATTCTCACTGAGAATATACGAGAATACACCAGAATACGCAAATACATAAATTTTTATAAAATGTGCTGGGCTTGCTGGGCTTGGTGTATTCTCACTGACAATACGCAAATGTTGCATAGTGACTCACTCTCACGCTGCATCTCCCCCCCCCTCCCGACGACGACACTATATTATATATTGTCAATATTTGCGTATTCTGGTGTATTCTCGTGTATTGTCGGTGAGAATACACCAAGCCCAGCACATTTTATAGAAATTTATATAGTTGCGTATTCTGGTGTATTCTCGTGTATTGTCAGTGAGAATACACGCAGATCAAAACTCAATAGACATCCTTTATCAATCAAACCGGCATGTTGAACTTGACATGGCATCATGCTGATGTGAAGTTCATCGTGGTTAGAAATCAATTTTAGTTGTTTTGGCCCCCGTAATCCATGTTATACTTTGTCCATGGGGACACATCCTTTATGGGTCAAATGAACAACTCATTTTCCTTGGCTTTTCGAGTTCTCTAAAAGCTTGAACACATTTTTGTTTGTTTATTGTGAGAAACATAGTTTAACCAAAACTTATATTTCAGTCAATCTTTTACACTCGTAGTTAACGAGATATGATAATAACAAAAAAAATAACCAAATAATACTGTTATTATCATATCTCGTTAACTACGAGTGTAAAAGTTTGACTTAAATAGCCAATTTTGAAGTATGACCATTTTTATTAATCGTGACAGAATGAATTCAGAGGGCTAACAAGGCTCCTACTGCCACTAGCAGCTGGAAATTATCACCCTAGCGCGTGACCCTCATCTGCAAAAGGATCTGAGCAGCTCTTCAAGTCTCTACTTCACTTACCTAAATTAAATGCGAAATTGTGTAAATAAAAATGTATTCGTCAAAGTATATAGATCAACGAGAGATACAATACACAGACGTTAACAAAAACGATAAAGAAACTCTCAGAAAACAAAAGTAATATAAAAGTAGTATATATATATATGTATGCAGTTTATACTAATAGACTAAGAATAACACAGTAGTTAATTAATAATACAGACGACAGGGCAGTCTGTGAAAAAATCCCTCTCACACGTGGATAAAAGAGAGAGAAAGAAACAAGAACGAAAATGAAAGGAATGTGACCATCTAGCTGACCAGAGAGAAACAAGAAAGGCAGCGACAGTTACCCAGGCCCAAGGATTAGATAACAAGATCTTGGAAGATCTTACAAGATCATATATGATCTTGGGTGGTCGTATAATAAGAAATCATAAGATTTCAAAAGATCTTATCAATTCTTATCAATTTCCTATAAGATCTTACAAGATTTCATATGACATTTTGTAGCAAGATTCTTATAAGATTTTACAAGATTTTTCTTATCATAGGAATGTACAAGATCTTGTATGATCTTATAAGATCTTACACAAAGAAGGTATAAGAAATTATACGACCTTATAAGAAGTCACAAGATTTTATACGATCTTACAAGATCATACACTTGATCATTTCCTGTCGAATCCTCTATACCTCTGCATTTTTCTTTTTCTAATATAATTTCTAACATTTGGCCCTAGGCGGCCACAGGACCGTCTTTTGCCACGTTTCTTAACCATGCACTTCGTAAAATTTATATGGTAGAGATGAGTCATCGATCTTATGAGATCTTGTAAGCTCTTATGACAAGAATTCATATGATCTTGTAAGATCTTATATAGTCTTGTGACAAAAAAATATATAAAAGTCAACAATGTCTGGTACAAGATTTTGTAAGATCTTACAAGATCATATGAATTCTTGTC